TCCAGACACATCTTCACAATGAAGCTTGAAACCAGTCAAGCACTTTTTTTTATTAAAAAAAAAAAAAGTCTAATGGTAAAGTCTATAGTCTATACATGCTACAGCTAATTCATTGTTCATCACCCCTCCCCCCTCACATTATATATCCTCATGTATTTTTCGTGTGTGTTAAAAGGAAACAAAGACACCACCAGAATGTGTCAGCTTGCCCAAGGGTATGGGGAGTGCTGAGATGTCCAGAGATCTCCAGCATCATCCTGTGAGCAGACGCGAGGTGGTGGGGCAATGCTGTCAGAGCCCACTGCTCCTGGAGGGATGCAAGAAATGGCCTAGTTACTTGGTGGCTCCCTGAAGCAGGAAATGTGGGTTGTAGCCAAGGTGACCAGTTTGTTATCACCCCGTGAGTGAAAGGGGTGCTGCTATTAACAATTACATGGGCACAATGTCACAGACGGGCGTGCACTGGGGTAAAATATGGACACCTTAGTTGTGCTAGGATTGCTTATTGCCATCATAAGCCTGGTGGGTGCACCTCCTCTTGTACGTTTATAGAAGACCTGAAAGTGAAGGCTACTGGCTGTGGCCCTGGGTTTGGCCTCTTCAAGGACAATAGAAGTTGAGTCCCTTGTTCCTGATTGGAGCCAAGAAGGCCTATTTGGGAGTAGACGATAAAAACGGGAAAGGTGGAATGTTGAAACACAATGGGTGGCTTGAAAACTCCACAAGGTAGCACCAGAAAGCAGACGTTACCCCATGGGGCTGGACAGTCAAGTCTGTGAGAAGGGTCCTCAGCAGGTGGTCCATGAGCAGACAAAAACTCTGGAGCCTCCTGGTTTTAACTCTGCAACTCCACAACTCTGTCTGTGACCTCCACGGACTAAGGTCCATCTAGACATTAGAAGCTTAGCCAAGTTAGGAGCAATTCCTCCAGGCTAAGAGAGGGCTTGCCGCACCCTCAGGCCTCAACGCAAGCCAGTTTCCTACTCATTCAGGCCACGCGGCTTGACAACAGGGAATCTTTGTCTATGGTCTGGTATGGTTGTTTGCAGCAAAAGCCCTGCAGGATGGGCCTGACAACCAAGGAGGGGACAAGACTGCCACATGTGACTCAGGCTGTTACATATACATTGTCACAGCCCAAAGTGAAGACCTGACCCAACACTTAAAAACTCAGAAACAGTGAAAGGATGGGAGCCAAGCCGAGGCACGAATGCTCTCCTTCTTGATGACGATGCGTTGCCAGCCACCTGAGGCCAGGAGCGATTTCTACTTCATCCCACTCAGTGCCGTGTACTCGGTACAAACTAAATAAATACTAGACTGTCCATCCCTCAGCCTAAGAGTAGGGTCTTCCAGCCTTGGGGAGATTTGGCATCTGTCCTTTAATGCGGCAAGTTTGTTTTCCTACATTCTACCTGGTAAGGAAATCCCCTGTGGGCCCAGAAATGTTTTAAGGCCAAGAACTTTGTCTAAGAAATCAATCACGTGGAGAGGCTTTGTAGAGGGCATGTAACATGACTACTGGAAGCCTGGTGAGGCTCTAGCAATTTCCCCGCAGGGCAGGGCATTAAAAGTGCTTTGAGCTGCAGCCCAGCTCCCCAAGTCTCATCCTGGGACAAGGACATAAACCCACCAAATGGCAAAGAAATTCTCAGTAAAAAACTTGAGTAAAGGCCTATTTTATCAAGTGGTGGTCCTAAAATGCAGATCTTCCAAAGATTTGGCGTTATGACTACAAGCTGTAGTTTTGCCCTAGGGTGTAAGATAAAATAGCCATCCCAAGAAAGTATGCAGGGGTGAGGAAAGGAATAAAACCCATCCTTGCCTGCCTTTCTGGGCTGGCATTTGGCCTGTGACCTACTGACACGTGTGATCGTGGGGTCAGGAGAGGAAAAACCTAAATTAAGAGGGAGGGTCACCTGCTTCCCTGGAAGCACCATGAACATTTCATTGTTGATGGCAGAGGAAACGTCATGGGCACTGGGGAGAAAAAACTGGATTCAAGTCTCAGCTTGGTCAATATTTGGATGACGCTGACTTCAACCTCTGAACCTCGGTGCTCTCATGACAGACTGGGGCTGACCCTAGGCACCTCACAGGGTTGAAGTGAGGATGAAATTAAAGGAGGGAGCGTGCGTAGGCACCGGTAACCTGCCCGGAGCCTGGCACAAAAGTTATTCCTATGGCCCTGGACGTTTGCCACGGTGGTGACTCCAAGGGGATTTTGCATCTGCTCTATCAAATGCACATAGAATGGTGGCTACCTACAGTCCTGGATGGTATCAACCTAAGCCCCCAGGTGAGGACAGCCAGGGAGAGCCATTGGCCATCAAGACCGTCCCTTGCAGCTGCCTGGGGAAGTGCCCTCACCGTGGTAGGAGGAGCTGGAGAGAGGAGTCCTCAGGCCACAGATGTGTCCTGAGGGAAGAACAGTGAACAGAGAGAAATGTGGCTTTAGTACCTTCAGTTCACGCCAGAATAATAACAATAAAAAGGCTGATTACTTTTTCATGTGCAGGGATAATTTTCTATCCAGAAAGAGGTGGAATTAGTCCATTCCCACCCAGCTGACCCCTGGGAGGAGGAAATGAAGCCAAAGACAAACGCCTTCAGTGGAATCTGCACACAAAAATCAAAGCTCTTCACAGCCAGGCACGGAGCCACCCGCAGCCTGGTCTACACCCAGCGCCTAGTACATAGTAGGCACCCACAAAATACTAGAAAAGGTCAACGAAAGCTGAGAGATAATCAGAAAAAAAAAATTTAGAGTTTTGTCTTTTGAAATGTAGTCAAATCCTGCATAACAGCGTCACGAATGGCGTTTAAACCAAAATGGGTCAAAAACTCAGGAAAATGTGCTGTGGGGCCTTCTCCCGAGTGAGGGGACCTTGGAGGGTGGATGGCCCTCTCCCATTCTCCCTTCTGCCCCTGGCTGCCATCTTCCCCCCAAGGTTCTGGGAACAGGGCTGGGGGCAAGTGGGCGCGGCAGGGCACCTCAGGGCCCTGCCCCAAGACTCTCGGGGTGTGGGATTTACAGACCTACTGAAGGAAGGAATAAAGATGCGATTGTGGATCAGGGGAGAAGCATCCAGAGCCCATGTGGCAGTGAGGAGGGGTGGGGAGGGGAGGGGAGAGTGGAAGAGAGCTGTCTGCACATAAATTTTGGCACTGCAGGTAGACGGCGAGCATCCCTGGGAAAGCTGCTCTTGTGGTCCCAAAAGCATGGCAGCAGATGACTACTCTGCATCAGAGATCTCTGGGGGCAGGGCCAGAGGGCCACTTCCTCTTGTCCTGCAGAGTAGGGTGGGATGAGGAGGGGTGCTGCATTCTCATCCCCCAAGGCAGCCTGGACACCAGGCAAGAGCTCTGGGCTGGAAGCCAGAAATCCTGGGTCCTGATTCTCGTTCTGCAGTGTAGCTGTGTCTCTACGTGACTCAGTGAACCACATCAGTCAAAACGGGTGCAAGGGCTGCCCTGGGTTCCTTCCAGTGAGACCACAGAGAGGGAGAGTGTATGGAAAAAAAAAAAAAGAAAACTACTCTTCGAGTGCCAGAGAGGAGCAGGAAGCAGCAGCAGAGACAGGAGGTTCTGCCTGGCCCTCGGGTCCCCATCTCCTTATGGGACTACTGCCTACTCTGCCCAGTTTGCTGGAGACTCCGCTACTGGCCCTTGAGACACCAGGGTCCCTCAAGGCCGGCATGTGAGACCACCTTGGCTCCCTTTGCTCCATAAGTTCTATCCCCCGGGGTGGGCACCAGCATAGGAGCAGGAAACAGGGCTCTGTGGCAGCACCGGGGCCGTGGGCAGCCTCTGTGTGGAGCAACCATATGGGGTCCAGCGCAGCCTTCAGTAGATGCTACAATGGGCTGGAGGGGTGTTAGGTGTGGGAGCAGCCACCCGGCCCCCACATGCACAGCCCAGGGCAGCCAGCTGGTGTCTCCCTCTCCCCGCCTGGTTTGCCTCTTACAGGGGAAGGGCACAGGCATGAAAGTCAGGCCAGCCTGGATGCTAATCCTCTTTCCTCCTCTTCCCAGCCAGTGTGCCCTTGGGCCCATTGAACCCGAGTTTCCTCATCTATAAGACAGGTGTAATAGTATCAGAGAGGGCTGCTGTGAGGGTTCAGCATGAATGTAAGGTGCCAAGTACAGCGTTTGGCACCTACTAGCTACTCAGCAAAGAGGAGCTCCCAAGGGGCGTGGCTTGTGAACGGTCCCCTTATTCAAACAAACCTTGAGATTCTTGCTCTAGGTAGGCAGAAGTGAAAGGCCCCCCTGCCAAAAGCAGGCTGGGGATTCTTGTTTAAAAGCCCTGGGTTGGACCCCAGCCTGCAGCAGGAAAAGTGGAGCATGCTTGGAGCTGGAAGCACTCCTTTAGAACTGATCAGGGTCCCAGCACAGAAGGGAGGCAACGTGGCTGGGAGGACCTCCAGGCCCACTCCTGGGGCAGCTGCATCTGCTTGAACCTGAGAGGCCCGTGGACCTGAGGCCTCGGGGAAGACACCACCTCCCTGGAACTGGCAACGGAGCTGACTTCTACGGGATGAAGTTCTTTCTGGGACCAGGCATTTTGGAAACTGAGTGAATCAAGTTGCTTGACATGAATGAACTGGGTGGGGTGCTGGGTCAGCGGGGGGGCTACCCATACTCTGCCTGATCCGAGCAACAAGAGACCCTTTCTGTAGTTTCTCCAGATGATGGATTCCGGTCCTAGAGACCTCAGAGAGTCATGGTCCAGCTGTTGGGTGGGCAGGGAAGCTGGGTGGCAATGCCACTGGCCTTAAGGCAGGGATGCTGAGTAGAGAGAAAGGGGTGTGGCCTCTGAGCCTCCAGGGGATGCTGTGATGGGAGGGAACCCTCTCCACCCAGAGAAGGGAAGAAACCACAGTATTCCAGTCTTCCTTCCTTTGAAGCTGCGTGGAGGATGATAAATTAAGAGGCATATTAAATATGTAGGTAAAGCCGGCAGGGTCGCGCAGGACTTCCAGGCAGGAAGGGAGCAGGCTAGGGCTTCTTTCTGAGATAGTTGGAAGGAATCCACCCTTCCCAGGAGGGGGCCCCGCTTTGCACCTGGCAGAACCACCAGCCGCTGCTGTTCTTTTCCCGGACCTCGAACACCGTCCCCTCCTGGAAGCTGCTGGTACCTTCGTCTCCTTCAAAGTTGGCCACGGCCACATACAAGTCCTTGGGGCCGGCTGCATTGGGGAAGGGGGCTGCAGCCACTTTCTCCTTGTTTTCTCCCATCTTGCCCATCATCCGTGGCCCCAGCCCACCTTTGCCTCGCGTGTCATCCTGCCCCCCTGAGGAGTTGGAGAGAAAAGGTTTGGCTTTTGGGGGGACAAGCAGGGCCCGGCCTGGGACAGGAGCTGCCTTGCCTTCAGTGGGCTCCCGCTGCGGCCCTCTGACCTCTGGAAGGGGCCCTCTGACCTCTGGAAGGGGCCTGGACGACGAGGAGGTTTTCTTGGGGGGTGGTGGTCTCCGAGGAGGGACCACAGGTCTCTGCTGGGAAGCCTCTTGGAGAGGGACTGGCACATTCTTAGGCACAGGATCTGCGGTCTTGGCCGGCCTTGGAGGGGCTCTGCAGGACGTCTCCTTTGGGCTGAGCCCATCCTGTTTGCTCGTCCTGTCCTGGGCACGGCCAGGCCCCTCCCCTGGGAGGAAGCCACGGCTGATGGCCACGTCCTGGCCTCCCCCAGCCTGGGGGCTGCTCTCTCCGTCCAACGAGGGTTTCTCTTGGGACTTGGCAGGCCTGAGCTTGCTCCTGAGGTTACAGATGTCCACTTGGTCTTCGCCCTGAGGTGGCTCTGTCCTGGGGGAAGGAGCTGGTTTTGGCCTAACCTGAGGTTTGGACTTTAAGAAGGGATTCTGGGGAACAACTTCCGGCTTCTCCTCCGGTGGGTCAGCTTTGGATTTGGAGACAGGTCGGAGGTTGGGCTTCTTCACTTCCTTGGCCAATACTTTATGGCCGCACTCCAGCCCCATCTCATTTTTCAGCTGGAACAACTTGCTTTTGTCAGGTTTGGGCTCTGGTCTCCTGCTGTCCCGGGCTGGAGGCGTGTGTTTGGTTGGGATCATTGGCAAGATCATGCCAGGAGGCTTGGGTGAAGAACCTCGGAGCTGCTCCATCCTCTGTCGCTCCTGCAGCTCCCCTTCCGACTTGATGATGGATTCTTTCCGGGGAGGGAGGCTGGGCTTCTCCTCCAGGTCAGGGTCCGAGATCTCCTCGTAGCCTGCACACGAGGACGTGTCTGAAGATGCCTTCCTTGGGACCTCCTTACCACCCTTCCAGTCTTTGGACCATGGCATGGCGGAGTCCACAGCCCCATGTGGTGCGTCGGGTAGGGGCCGGGACGGGCCGATGGCTTCACTGCCCGTGCAGTTCTCCATTGCTGCTGCATCTCCCAACCGGAGCTGCGTCACCTCATTGGGCAAGGGAGCCAGAAAGTTGGGTCTTGAGGCATTGCTGGTTTTCTTATACTTATCGATGAAAGTCGCTGGGGCCCACCCTTCCTTATCTTCAATCTGAATGTACCACCAGCCGCTCAAGTTCTTCTCGATCACCTGGAAAGGAGGCCAGAGGAAAGCACTGAGTAGGTATGGTGTCAGGGCCAGTGGGCCAGGATGGTCTGGGAGAACCCACATGCAGCGGGGGTTCTGGAATCAGGGATTTTATATTCGTCAGATTCCCAGACAATATCTATGCGGGACCATCTATGAGACTGCTGTGTATCAGAAACATCTTACATGGGGGTAGGTGCTCGTGTAATTTTGGATTTCCTCAAAATCAGTCCTTGAGATATGAACTTGGGTGTAGGTAGTTAATCTGAGAGATGATTCCAGGAAGCCCAAGTGAGGAACTGAGGAAAGGGAGAGCCAGTCAGGAGCAGGTTAATGCTCTTGGGCCAGTGGGGCTTAATTTAACAGGGATCCTCTGAGAGACTGTGCAGAATCAGACATTGGGGGTGGGGACACTTCTCTCCTGACCCCTAGTCCCTCCCTCTCCCCAAGACATTAACCCTCCCCCTTTCTGGGTGATGCCCTTAGGCGGGCATAGGAGGTGGGGAGCAGTCGCGGGGTTGGGATACGGGGCAGGCCACCAGCGGTGTCTGCTAAAATTCTGAAGAAGTTCAAGGCAAACCCCCGATACAGCCCAAACTAGCCTTGATCGCTGCTCCTTTGGTTGAGCACCAGACAAAGCAGTTGGCTGCTGTTTATATGCCATATGCCGTATGAAAAATGTGCATCCTTAAATGTGGGGATCACACCTAACTCATGTTTAGGTACAGGGGAACTGATGCTGATGGAGGTACAACAAACTTTCATCTCATCTCCCTCTCCCTCTGGGATACACACCCATTGGAACGGTGGGAGGAATCACTCATGTCATTTAATATGTTTCCTGCCTCCTTTTTGTTTAGTACCATGTGGCTAAACTCACACGGGTGAAAGGTGCACACGCTGCATGTTATGGGCTGAACTGAGTCCCCCCCAGATTATATGTTGAAGCCCTAACCTCTGTACCTTAGATTGTGACTGCTCTCGAAGACAGAGCCTTTTAAGAGGTAATTAGGTTAAAATGGGGTCATTAGGGTGGGCCCTAGTCCAATATGACTGTTTTCCTTATAAGAGGAGATGAGGACACACAGAACATCCAGAATGAGGGACGACCATGGGTGAACACAGAGAGAAGGTGGCCAGCTGTGAGGCAAGGAGAGAGGCCTCAGGAAAAGCCAAACCTGCTGACACCTTGATTTTGGACATCCAGCCTATAGAATATGAGAAAATCCATCTCTGTTGTTTAAACCACCCAGTCTTTTGTGATGGCAGCCTGAGCAAACTAATAAACAGCAATACCACAGCAGGCTCTGTGCACAGGAGAGCTGGTTAATGATTACAACCACCTGATGAGATGGGGATTGTCATCCCATTGTGCAGATGCAGAACCAAGCCTCAGGAGAGCTGAGGAGCTCGCAGAGGATCACGCAGAAAGTCAGTGGTGGAGGCGGGAGTCAAAGGCAGCCTGGTGTGCTCCAGAGCCTGAGCCTTTACTACCCAGCCCTGCCCTGCAAAAGTGGACCCTGCTTGGCGGGGGAGCCATGCCTGAGGTGAGAAAGCACTAGGGGCCGAGGGCTGTGGGTATGGTTCTGCTGTTGCGCTCTGCCACCCAGATCAGAGAGAAAGGCAGCCACAGACCCAGTGCAGGAGCAGAGGCTGGCCTCTGGGGCTGCAGTCCTGGGTTCCGGCTCCGGCTGCCTCAACAGCCCTGGGTAAGCCACAGGCCTGAGATGCCACATCACAAAACAGAGAGGATGGTAAGAACAGTAATGCCTACTTGTAGGGTTTCCATGATGACCACATAAGCTAATGTGTGCAACAGCACTTGGTAAAGGCTGAAAGGAGAATGTTACCTATTAGTATTAAATTACAGGGGAGAGCACTGAGAACGCAGCAGGCACGTGGCAGGCATATACTTAACACGTCCCACTGGAGTCTCTCCAGGAAAGGGTACTGATAAATGGAAGCCCTTTACGTGCTGGTGACCAGCATCTTATCAACACTTGGTAGCTCTGGTAATGACTGAAGGTGATTCTGGGCATACAAGTCATTGCCAGCACATCCGTGAATTCAACAACTGTAAGACTAAGTATGTACGTGAGCAAATGAAAATAGAACAATTAATCAAAATGAAATCTATCAATGAGGATTTGCTAAGCTTACACTCTACCATGTACTATGGCAGAAGCTCTCAACATTTGTGTCCTTAATTGCGATGTATGGGAGTTTTCATTTACTAGATAGAAGCTAAGAGCTCTTACGAATACAGTCAGTCATACCTCATTTAAAAAAATTTTTTTAAATTAATTAATTAATTAATTTCTGGCTGCGTTGGGTCTTCGTTGCTGCGCGAGGACTTTTCCTAGTTGCAGTGAGCGGGGGCTACCCTTGGTCGTGGTGTACAGGCTTCTCATTGTGGTGGCTTCTCTTGTGGAGCATGGGCTCTAGGCACGTGGGCTTCAGTAGTTGTGGCACGCAGGCTCAGTAGTTGTGGTGCATGGGCTCAGTTGCTCCACGGCTCATGGGATCTTCCCGGACCAGGGCTCGAACCTGTGTCCCCTGCATTGGCAGGTGGATTCTTAACCATTGCACCACGAGGGAAGTCCCCAGTCAAACCTCATTTTATTGCACTTCACTTTATTGCGCTTTGCGGATACTGCATTGTTTTTTTTGTTGTTGTTGTTACAAATTGCTCATTTTCACAATATTTCAAACTTTTTCATTGTTATTATATGTGTAATGGTGATCTGTGGTCAGTGATCTTTGATGTTACTATTGCGAAAAGATTATGACTTGCTGAAGGCTCAGATGATGGTTTGCATTTTTTAGTAATTAAGTTTTTTTTTTTTTTTTTGCGGTACGCGGGCCTCTCACTGTTGTGGCCTCTCCCATCGCGGAGCACAGGCTCCAGACGCGCAGGCTCAGCGGCCACGGCTCACGGGCCTAGCCGCTCCGCGGCATGTGGGATCTTCCCAGACCGGGGCACGAACCCACGTCCCCTGCATCGTCAGGCGGACTCTCAACCACTGCGCCACCAGGGAAGCCCCGCAATTAAGTATTTTTTAATTAAGGTCTGCACTTTTTTTAAAAAGTAATTTTTAAAATTTTATTTGTTTATCTTTGGCTATGTTGGGTCTTCGTTGCTGTGTGCAGGCTTTCTCTAGTTGCGGCTTTCTCTAGTTTCTCTACTCTTCAGTGAGGTGCTCAGGCTTCTCATTGGGGTGGCTTCTCCCGTTGCGGAGCACAGGCTCCAGGTGCGCGAACTTCAGTAGTTGTGGCACACGGGCTGTGCCACAGGGAAGGTGGGTCTGCACATTTTTTTAGACATAATGCTACTGCACACTTAATAGATTATAGTATAATGTAAACACACTTTTATATGCACTGGGAAACCAAAACATTCATGTGACTTGCTTTATTGTGATACTGGCTTTATAGGGGTGGTCTGGAACCAAACCTGCAATATATCCAAGGTTGGCCTGTAAAAGCAAATGCAAAGTCACAAGAATGGAGATGAAAGAATATAGCCTGGGCTTTAAAACCAGAGAGATTTGGGATCAAATCCCAGCTCCACCACTTACCAGCTATGTAACCCTGGACATTTACCTAACCTCTCTTTGTCTCAGATCCATCTGTAAAATGGGCTGGGGACTTCCCTGGTGGTGCAGTGGTTAAGAATCTGCCTGCCAGTGCAGGGGACATGGGTTTGAGCCCTGGTCTGGGAAGATCCCACATGCTGCGGAGCCACAGATCCACTAAGCCCGTGCGCCACAACTACTGAGCCCGCGTGCCTAGAGCCTGTGCTCCACAACAAGAGAAGCCACCGCAATGAGAAGCCTGCGCACCACAAAGAGGAGCCTCTGCTCGCCGCAGTTAAAGGAAGCCCACGCGCAGCAACAAAAACCCTACACAGCCAAAAATAAATAAATAAGAAAATAAATAAAAATAAAATGGGCTGAATGTATCGACCTCTTGGGACTTCTGTGAAGATCAGTTATGAAGGATGTAAGGTACTCGGCACAGATAAGTGTCTGTATCAACATTTAAAAAAAAAATAAAATGGGCTCAATGTATCGACCTCTTGGGACTTGTTTGAAGATTAGTTATGAAGGACGTAAGGTACTCGGCACAGGTAAGTGTCTGTATCATCGTTATCATCGTATCATCATTAGTAAAACATGTTTTGAAGATACACAGACCAAGCAAGGAACTAAGGTACTCCTTGTAGCTCCACTGCTAGAATCCTGTGGTTCCATTATGAATTCTGAACACTAAGATGATGTTGAATTGAACCAGGAAGCAAAACCGGAGGAGAAGAAAACAAAGGATACAGTGTTCATCATAAGAACTCTTGGTTAAGCCAAAAACTGTAGGGTCGGGCTTCCCTGATGGCGCAGTGGTTGAGAATCTGCCTGCCAATGCAGGGGATACAGGTTCGAGCCCTGGTCTGGGAAGATCCCACATGCCACGGAGCAACTGGGCCCGTGAGCCACAACTACTGAGCCTGCGCGTCTGGAGCCTGTGCTCCGCAACAAGAGAGGCCGCGACAGTGAGAGGCCCGCGCACCGCGATGAAGAGTGGCCCCCGCTTGCCACAACTAGAGAAAGCCCTCGCACAGAAACGAAGACCCAACACAGCCAAAAAATAAATAAATAAATTTATAAAAAACAAAACAAAACTGTAGGGTCAACTATTTCTCACTCAAGCCCTTCAAGTCATCACTAGCAGAACCTATGCTGACATCACAGAACAATAATAAAGCAGAGAAGTTTCAAGGATGGGTTACATTTGTGCTTCCTGCAAAAGAATGCTGGGTATGTGAGCTATTTATTGGCTCAGCTTTAGCAAAAACAGACAGAATAAAAGCCAGACACGAGACAGGGGAATGGTTCTGGTTGAAGTGCGGGTGCAGCCTTGGAGGGAGACTCCCCAGTACCTCCAGAAGACCCCAGGGATCCATTTACTCCCTACTGCACACAGAGTCAGTTGTCCGGAACACCTTGAGC